TGGTGAGTGGCTTTGTTCCACCACATGCTGCTGCTGTTATGTGCTGCTCCCTACAGGCTCACAAGCGAGGGAGCCCAGCAGCCCCGGACTGAAGCCTCCAAAGCTGTGAGCCATAGTAAATACTGACACAGGGTCACAGTGGTGATGGCCACAGGTGTTTTGTCACAGTGATGGAAAGCCGATTAACACAGGAAGTGAAAGGAAAAATAACCCTGAAGGATTTTCTTCACACTGAAGAACAGAAACAGTGAGTTGGTTACAGCCTCAAATATGGATTTGGAAAATCAGAACAAATTTCTTATTTGTTAAATTTTAAAACCTGTAGTTGTTTGCTTGTTTGTTTAATTATTTCTTCAGTTCTAAAGTTGAAACCAGGACCTTTGCACTGAGTTACACACATCTTCAGCCCTTCATTCTGAGTCAGAGTCTTGCTAAGTTGTTAAATTGCTCAAGCTGGGCTCAAATTTTGATGTTCCTGCCTCAGGCTCCCAGCACTCACAGTGTTAATTATTTTAATTTATCACTACTTTTGCATTGTTTCTCAGTCTCTAGGGCATTGTTGTTCCAAAAACCCTCAGCCCTTTTGGATGCCTGGTGCTCAATTCCTTTCCACCGAGCTTGTGTCTTTTGCCTGTGGGATCTGTGTCCCCTCTATTTTCAGACCTTTTCTTCAAATAATTAAAAATATCATAAGCAACTCTGAGACCATGCTGATAAGCCCTATGAAACTGGCTGTTCCTGATGGCTAATCATATCTCATGAACAGGTCTGAGCTGGGTTCGTCCAAGGCCCCAGTCTGCTCTTTCTCTGTGATAGTTTGCATCACATGGAGAACACCTGTGCCTGCCTTCTCCCTATGTAGTAGAAGGTCAGCAGTGGCCACCACACTCAAGTCTATCACAGGCCCAGAGGAACTGCTAAGCCACCCCCAGTGATGCAGTAGGCATGGGGAATATCATGGTGCCCGGGCGCACACAGTGTCTCTGGCTGGGCACTCCAGCAGGAGCAACTCTATCCCTGCATCCTTGTCTCCTTGAATCTCCTCCCAGTTGTCAGGAGCAGAGCCCCAGGGCACAGGCAGGGCACTTAAACAGCCTGAGGCTATGCAGGCTCCATTTAGGGACCAATTCTGGCCTGGTCAAGGTCTACCCCTGCTGGGAGTGCGGTGTGGGGAGAAGTCTCTGCCCAGAAGAATGAACTGAGGCTTCTGCTCAGGTACTGAATGACCTGCTGACTCCCATTGTTGGTGTTGTGCTTTGATCACTACAAAAAAATATGAAGATTATGGCACCACCAGGACTATTCAGTTATCTCCAGCTATGGGCAGGTCATGTGACTTGTCTCAGGGACACAGAACCATCTCCCAGTCCTGTTTCGGTAAGTCCCCGGGGCACAGTAGAGTTCCTGTGAGTATGCTGGGGGCTCCCCACACCACCCTTTTTATAGGATGCACACTTGGGTATTAGCATAGGATTCTGTGTGACAGAGGTTTTTCTTGTGACTATGAAAAAAATACTTCCAGACACTATTGTTGAAAGCACCTTGTACCTCAGGAAAACATCCGAGTCCCCGCCATGGTGTTCCTTGACCAGAAGGGGGTGCTGGGAGCACACGGTCAACACCTTTGGGCGCTGTAGGAAGCCTCACCTGGAAGGGCTCAAGCCAGAGAGCATAGACCTCTGCTCCTTTTCAAGGCCCAGGCAGTCCCAGAAGTGCTCACTGCTCACTTCCCCGTCTAGGCTTCTTCTTCTTCAGCTTTGCTCTAGGTTCTTGGAGTTTTAGAGAGGTTAGGGTTAGTGCGCGAGATGGCTGTGCCCTCCCTAGGTCAGTTTTCTAGGCCTGGGACCCTCCCTCTGTGAGTGCACTTGGTACTATCTTTGGTTCCTGAAGGCAGGTGGTAGGGGGTGGTGTGTGTGGGGTAGGGGTGCAGACAGCTTTGGGTCCGTTGAGTGTAGAGGTCCCAGCCCTCCCCCACCAGCTGTGGAATGAAGGCTTCCTTTGTGACCCATCAGGTGTTGCTGTGGAGGCCGTGTGTGGTCTGGACATCTCTCAAGGTAGCCTGAGCTTCCACAGTGGGGTCAGGATCACAGCTGAGCTTTGGGGCACAGGGACAGCCCCAGAGTTATACTCCTGAGATGCAGGACTGTCCTGCCCAGCTGTAGGGATCCTGAGATACAGTTTATAAGGTGGGGCTGGCAGTGATAACCCGTAGGTGCTAACCGGCATGCAGTATGGGTTCCACATCGCAGGCTCAGCCAACTGCTCATCTCTGGGTAAAAAGTTGCTGGGGGCACTAAGCATGCGTGGACTTTTTCCTTATTTCTTTTATGATGCCGTTAACTATTGACATAGCATTTACATTGTCTTAGGTATCCTTAGTAATCTAGAAATGATTTAAAGTTTACAGGAGGAGTGCATGGGCTATATGCAAATATTGTACCATTTTAGGGACATGGGCCTCCTTGGATTCCCATGTTTATAGGGATCCTGCTTTAACTCCCCCCTCTCCTGGCCCCAGAAGCTGTCAGATCCCTGGCATAGGTCATGGCCAGTGGAAGACCCTTTAAGTTCCCACTGCCTTTTGGGGGCCCACAAGAGCAGCTGAGAAGAAAGACAGGAATGACAAATAGATTGTGGCTGTCTGAAGGCATGCCCACCCCCACCCAGGCCTGGCAGGAATGTCCCTCCTGATGGGCTAGCCTCACCTCCGCCCTCCACTCACAGACCCTGGGGTGATGGCTGCTGACCACAGCTCGCAGAGCAAAGGGCACATGTCTGTCCCCATCAGGGAAGAAGGATCACCCCAGTAACCTGCCTGGAGGATCTGGATTGAAACAAGGAGCCCATTTTTAGCAATAGTGCTCTGCCAAAATAAAGCCAAAGGAAAAATTCCTTACCACGAACAACTCCTGGATCTTGGAAATGGCCTTGTTTAATCTTGCTCTCTTTTGTAAAACCTTATTTCACCTGCTCCCCCAGGAAGCCTCTGCTCACTCAGCACTTTCAGGTTGAATATTTAATCTATTCTTTTTTTTAAAGTAGGCTTTTTTATCCATTATTGAGGATTAATCCTAGGGCACTGAGCCATAGCCTCAGTCCTTTCTTAATTTTTTTTATTTTGAGACAGGGTCTTGCTAAGTTGCTAAGTTGCCCAGGCTGGGCTAGAACTTGCACTCATCCTGCCTCAGCCTCCCAGAGTGTTGGGAGTATATGCCCTGCTTATTTTTCAGAGAAGTTTTAGGTTTCAACAAAACTGAGTGCAAGGGTCACAGATTTCCATATAAACCCCGTCCCCCTCCCTGTACGCTTCTCCCCGTCTGCCTGCCCACAGTGTGGACGGACTGTTACCACTGCTGAGCTCACCGTGACACACGGTGGCGAGTTCCTAGCTTACCTAGGGCTCATTCCTGGTGTTGTCTCACGCTCTGCACCCTCCATTAGAGCATCAACAAGAAGGTTTCCACGACCCTGCTTGTCCCCTTGCTGTTTGACCCCTCCCCACCTCCCCACTGGCCCTGGCAGCCGCCGCACTGCCCATGTTGCCCTCTCCACAGTTGTGCATTTTCCAGAATGTTACAGTTGGACTTGTGCAGAATGTGGACTTTTCACGCCGCCCCTTCTCTTCGCAGTGGGCATTTGTTTCCTCGGTGTCTTTTCAGGATGCGATGGCTCCTTTCTTTTGGGTGCCTGAGTAATGATGTTCCACAGCATGGAGGTTCCCTGTTTATCTGTCACCCACAGAGTGACACTTTGGTCGCCTCTGAGTTCTGTCAACTGTGGCTAGAGCTGGGGTGAGCATCCAACTGCATGGAAGCTGGCCGCCCCAGGAGGATGGGTGCCCAGTGACGCGTGGAACTTGGGGAAAGGATCCCTTAAGTTGGGTGTGTGTGACCTGTGAGGGGTCTGGGCCTAGCTAGGCTGTCCACTTCTGGCCCTATCTCTTTTCTTTTCTTTTTTTCTTTTCTTTTCTTTTTATTCCTTTCCTTTCCTTCCTCTCCTTTTCTTTTCTTTCTTCTTCTTTTTTTAAGACAGAGTCTCACTATGTACTTCAGCCTGGCCTTGAACTCACAGCAGTCCTCCTGCCTCAACCTCCCTAGTGTTAAGATTACAGGTGTGTGCCACCACACCCGGCCCAGTCTCCCACTTTTCAGAGGAGCACATCCCAGGAGGTTGTGCCCAGAGTCTTTGGAGACCGACTGGCCCCACCTGGCTTCTTCAGGGGCAGCCTACACCGAGGAATGTGCCTGCTTAGGGTGGAGATGGCTGATGGTTCCAGGGCCACGGTGCAGGCCAGCTACCAGGGCGACACGTTCAACCTCCTGCTTCCTGTGCATTTATTCAGGAAAAGTTTACTGCGCATGTGCTACACTAGGCTCTAGGACTGCAAGCCCTGGAATGCGTAACACAGCCGGTCTGCCCTTACTCTCCCTGGGAGGCTGGGTGGAGCATGCAGCTCCTCTGGTAGGAGACATAGAATGCTGGGGCTAGAAGGACAGGGCCTGGCAGAAGGGAGAAGGGGCTCCCTGGAGGGACTAAGCCAGGCCCCAGGTGGCAGAAGCACATTCTAGGCCAGGGGCAGCTGTGCAAAGCCCAGAGGTCTGGGAAGCCCGTGGTCTCATGGGTAGGAGTGGGCACAGGTTTCTGGGAGGGCTTCAGAGAGCTGCAGGCAGGGCGCAGGGGGAGGTGGGGGGGTGGGGGGTGGCCGTGGCTGCTTATGATGGAGAGAGCGCCACCTGCAGGCCATGCCCAGTGCTGTCAGAGAGAAAAGGAATAAGGCAGGCAGGGCTCAGGGGCAGTGGGCGGCACCTTCTGGGGCCAGGTGTGGGAGGGACACAAACACACTGCATAGATGCAGCTGTCAGAGACCAGGCTCTTTCAGAAAGCATCTCTGATACGTGGGAAACCTCAGTTCAGCGCCGAAAGTCCAGCTGACTCTAAACACAGGGTCTTCTTTTTGTGCCTGTCGGATGTGCTCAGCCTGCTCTCTGCTTTCCTCGCAGATCCGGACGAAGGACAGGGTCTTCGATAGCATCAGCCACCTCATCAACCACCACCTGGAGAGCAGTCTGCCCATCGTCTCGGCTGGGAGCGAGCTCTGCCTCCAGCAGCCGGTGGAGAGAAGACAGTGAGGGGTGCAGCCCATCCTGACCCTCAGCACCAGGTCAGGGGCCCGGAGTGCACAGGCCCTGGGGAGCTGCTCCAGGGTCAGCGCCTCCCTCAAAAGCCCTCAGAGAAAGGCTTCCTTCAGATTCAAGTTTCATAAACTTGTTCCAGATTTCTCATGCATATTAAAGGTGTACATACCTATACATCCTGTACAAATTATCCCTCTATATTTATATTTTTTAAGACTAAGAAAGATGTATGACTAATGCTCTGTGCTGTATGTTTTCAATGGAAACAAAAAAGTTTGACCATAGTTGTCCAGGCAAAAATTTAACTCAACTGACCTATCCTGCTGGGACATTTTATTAGGAAGGCATAACCCACAGTTCTACCTAATAAGCACAACATAGGGGGATAGAGACGAGGGAGAGGGTCGATGGTGACCGGGACTGGGACAGAACCATGAAGCCCACTGCCCAGATGATGCGTAACCCTGCTCTGATGGATTGTGTGAGAGGTGATTCTGAGACCTGGCTCTGTAGGCTGATGGGAGGCACCTCTTGACCTGTCTGAATGGTGCCCCCGGTGCCCCTGGCATTGCCGCCCACACACACGGGGCTCCCGCTGCAGCTTTGTGACAGAGCAGGTGGCACAGGCTGAGCACAGGCACGTGTCATGCAGCAGGACCCCAATTGCTTGGGAGTCACTGGGATTTTTTTTTTTTTTTTTGAGGCCAAATATGACACAGAGAAAGCCTTGCCAATCAAGACCTTGATCACAAATGCTGCCCTCATTCTCACCATGTGAGGCTGAGATGGGCATCTGAGGAAGGCAGTAGGGCCAAGTCCTCGGTGTATGTGTCCTTCTCGCCAGTGGGCTGGTCTCCGGCATCTTGTGGTCGCTGCCAATCAAGTTGGCCAAGTCAAATCCACCCCGCATATTTAGGAAAAGATGGGGAAGTGCACTTCCAGACTCAGACCTGAACTTGCTCCTGGGTGTGTGTGTGTGTGTGTTTGTGTGTGTATGTGTGTGTGTGTTCAGGACAAGGCCCTGGAGTATTAAGGACTAGTTAGAGATTCACCCCCAGAGTGAGGAATGCTGAGCCCCTTTCTGTCCCTGTGGAGTTTCCTGGTGGCCCTATTGATGGCTGTGTGCCCCACACTGCTCTTATTTCCACATCAAACACTGACATTTCCTGATGGCATTGGGAAGCTGGTGGTGTTTATGATTTTTTAAAAATATCTAGACTGAGATTATCTTTACAGATGCTGTGTTTCATAGCACAGCTGGAGGGTACATTCCTTGGCTGGCAACTCTCCTAGTCTCTGTGAGGTCCTGGAGCAGAGGCAGTCTAGGCCAGTAGAACAGAGACACTTTGCGCACACTTAGAATTGTAGAGTGATACATCGGATGCTTTTAAAAAATCTGGTGAGGCATGATTCCGCAGGGTTCTAGCGGCAAGTGTGTGAACTCAGTTTCTGCTTTGGGAGTGTGTGGCCAGATGGGAGGACTGACCCAGCGCAGCTAATGAATGAGGATGGGTTCAGCAGGCCCTACTTCTTTGGAGTTTTTGCCCTCTGGGGTTTCCATGAATCCATGCTGATGGCAGAGTGAGTCTCCTAGAATGTTCTGTGGGAGGTGTAGCCCACCTTGTGCTTCCTGAATGGTGGTGGTTTCAGGTGCTGCATGCACCCATGAGCGGAGAGACAGAGAGCAGCTGGCCAGGCTCCTACCCTGTGCCTCACAGGTGCTGAGAATCACGCTGCCCTCTGGAGCGCTGCAGGCCACACCTTGCACACTTGCACACAGGCCTGCGCCTCCGGGGTGGGAATGCGTACTGTATGCTACGTGCATGCAGCTGCCTTCTGTCCACGTTCTGGCATCCAAATGCTAATATTCAGGGATGAATATTAGCATTAATTAAATTATTCAGGGATGCCGGGAAAATAGAAAACAAAAACTAACACCCCTGCACAATGGAAAGTTCACTGTGGTTTATTTTCCTCATAGAGAAAATTAGGAAATGGTGATCTGCAGTTACAGTAGCTCCCTTCTCTGAAATTAGTGTTAATTTCAAGGATTATAGGTGATATGTATATTGTATACATTGCACGAGAATCAATTTAGAAAATTAAAGGTATTGGAGTCATTTCTTCTTTTCAATATTTATTCAAAATATGTAGTCTGATTATAAGGTTGGTTATACTACAATCACGCCAAATGAAAAAGCTGGTTTTCCTTTTTAGCTATCTGAGAAATTTTCAGATGTTGTGGATAAGAGTAATCTTCTAATTTTTGTTCCCTTCAGTTTTTTCCTGGTACTTGGATTGAACCCAGGACCTTCTCACTGAGTTACATCTCCAGACCTTTTTATTTTTTATTTTGAGACAGGGTCTTCCTAAGCCTCTATGTTGCCCAGGCTGGGCTCCAACGTGCAATCCTCCTGTCTCAGCCTCCCAGACCTGTGGGATTACAGATGTGTGCTACCATGACCAGTTTCCCTTCTATTTTTAAAATGTACTGGAGCACACATGAGCTCTCTTATCTCTTATTTCAAGTGCCATGTGGCAGGGCATTTCTGCAGACCTCCTTTACAGTAGGGAAACTGAGGCTTTCTCCAGGTCATGCAGTCAACTAGGGACAGAGCTGTTGCTCTCACTCAGTACTTCCTGAGTTCTTCCTGTCGTGTGCCAGCCAGGGCTTGGAGGCAAACCCAACGGGGCATCTCTGCCTCCCCAGCCTGGGATCCCACTGCCCCCGGCTCTCACCTGGCATCTTTGCCAGGCAGGGGCAAGGCTGTTGAGCATCACACCCAGGCACACCATGCTGTGCGTTGCGCTCAGGTACAGTAGCGGTGTGCCCTACTGGGTCATCCTGGGGCCCTGGAGTGTGCCTCGGCCCTGCCACCTCTCTCCTGGGCACCACCACTGCACCGTGGGGAGGCAGGAGGGTCCTGCAGTCTTAATGCAGTGCACTCCTTCACGGTGGCCTGGAGACCTCTGCTCCTCCACCTTCCTGGCCAAATGAGCCGTGCTTCACACTCAGCCCTGTCCTGTGCGGCAAATGGGTCTCCCGTGGGGTGCTCACTGTGGGCCAGGATTCCTGACCACCGGCCCCGATAAATGGCGTTGTACAGTCAGGTGGGCAGTCTGATAAGCAACCAGTCAAAGATTCAGTCTTAAATCCTACACCTTCACTACCATGGGCCTTTGTACATTTGAAGAACCAAAGTGCTGCTCAGCCTTGGGGAGTGATCTCTCTGCTTGAAGCTATCTTGGCTTCAAACACAGGTAGACGGACCAAGGCCCACTTGAGCCATGGGCAGCTCCCTGCGGCTGAGGGAAGATTGGATAGCTGAGAATAAAGACAGAAAGTGGCAGGCAGTGAGTGGAGGAAGGAAGGACAGACCCAGGACAAGTGGACCCAAAAGTATTGAGGGACTCAGGGTCACCGATGACCCATATCTGGCCTCCTTGCCCGTGCAGAGGACAAAGATGTCCCCAGCTCCTGAGATGAAGCTTTTCTTCCCGTTTCATCAGGTACTGGGTGGCTCCTGTCTTCGCTTCCTGTGCAGCATTTGCCTCCTGAGGGCCAGTCCCACATTCTCTTCCTATTGGGCTGGGCTGAGCTGAGCAGAAGCTGGACCACAAACCCCCCCGGACAGTGCCAGTAGCACAGGACACCCCTGTCCAGCCTCAGGTCCACACACTCAGAATGACGTGGCCTCAGCCTACTGGCTGGATCTCTCTGCGCTGTGGCTTACTCCACAGCACAGGGTGGCTGCCCGTAGTTCCCACCACAGGGAAGAGCAGCTTCCCAGAATTCTCCATTCAAAAGAGGGTGCCTCGTTCTCGCTGACTGGCCCAAGGCTGCTTGCCACCCACGAATCTCTTCTGTGGATGGCGACAGCTAGGTTAAAAGTGAGCAGGAGGATTGTGGAAAGATTGCAAAGCAGATCCCTGTACCCAGGCAAACCCTTTGCAGGGAGTTTCAGAATAACACTCCGGTTCTTGGGGAAGAGTGTTTTCTAAGAAAGATAAAGCCACTAACTCCCAATCCTGGAATATATTGAAAACCGGGAACTGTCAGGTTTGTCAGCTTCAGACAAGACAGCAAAGAAGAGAGTGTCCCCTTTTTCAGATATGTAAGCCAGAACCAGGTGACCTGGCAGAAGATGGCTGAGTCTAGAAAAGATAGGGACTTAGGTCCCCGGGTGACACAGGAAGCTCAGCCCATGCAATGGCCGCCATGGTTTCTCCTCAGGTTTTACCTTCATGCCCCACTTGAAAATGCTTAAAGTCCTAAGCCATTCAGCTGGGAGAGACAGCACTTCTATTTTCTCCCTGTAGTGGGGGCTCTTGTAGAAGCTGACCTTGAAGAGGATCTATGCATGAGTTTGTGTGGGTGATGATCCCAGGAATAGGGGAAGGAAGTGACAAAGTAGGGTGATTGTCAAATGACTTTGCAAGACTCGGACAGCTAGGGTTGCACCCTGCTGGGGATTCCCAGGAGACTGGGCAGGACGCACTTCAGTGGCAGCCTAGGGGAGGGGATAAAAAGTTTATCCAAGGCCACCACTGGTGGGAGGCTTTTTCCAGCGATATCCTGCCCACCCCTGTGCCCACCCCTTTGCCATCTGGGAAACCCTTGGACAATGACAGGCACTCATGATAACCAGACCTGAGAACCAGGTCACCTTGTGCAGAACTCTGGTCCTCCCTGAACTTACCGGTGGGTCTGGAGGGAGGCCTGAGTTTGCCTTTCGAAGTCATTGCTGGAAATGAATTTGCCTTTCAGATTCATTCCTTGTGCAGCTGGCTATGAGTCTTGACTTTGAGAAGCACTGGCTGAGGCGAGTTTCCAGCCCTCACCTGTCTCTTCTTGATGGCTTCACCCCTCTGTTTGAAGATTAAGTTTTCATGCCACTTCATGTCAGAGCTCCCAGGGTCCATGCTGGGAATTTAAAAATGGAGAATTATTAAGCATTTACAACTCCATGCAACCGTTGCCAGCAGATAAAATGCCATCTGCCAGCCACAATTTATTTATAATGGGGTTTATACATATTTATACCTTTGCAAGCAACAAATGCAGTTTTAAAACTGATACATTTTATATAGCAACCAGAAAAATTGCAACTTTATATCAGGACTTGTGAAAGTGAACTGTGTATGTATCTACTCACATACATGTACCCAAGCTGATAAAACTGACTGTCTGTGGGCTGCCCCCCGCACTCCTCCCTGGACTCTGTAACATACAAGGACAGCTAGACAGTCAAACAGTCCTTAGAGTTTGGGGTTTGCGGGCATGGGCACTGGCTGACACACGGAGGAGGGTCCTGGAAGCTGCAGGATCTGGGACCCCAGCAAGAACAGGACACGGGGACAGCAGACAAGAGGGAAATAAGCCAACAGCGAGAGACAAGGGAAAGAGAAGGCAGAGACAGGAGAAAGGTAAAAAGGAGAGGGGAGACAAAACAAGTCGGACTTAGGTTTTATTTATCCTCCAGGGCCAGCTCCATGTGCCAGCGCTGCGTGGTGAAGGAGGCTGTGCTGCAGTGGGTCCCTGGCTGCAGCGGTGTGTGCAGCAGCACGGCCCGCGCTCTTGCAGCCAGCCTTCATCACTCGTTTGTGCATCTACTCCTATTCAGGAGTCTCTGCTCTGGGCTCATGGGCTAGAGACGTGAATGTATGAGGTTTCTGCCTGAGTGTGTAATCCAGTAGGAGGTCAGTACACACACACACACACACACACACACACACACACACACATTGGCATGTGACAAGCCTCACTGTGCTGATGTGTCCCAGTTCAATAGGACCAGGGAGGACAGGGCACACAGGTCTGTCCGGGGCTTCTGGTCAGGCTTTGTTCAGCAGGCATTGATGTGGGAGGTCAGAAGGGGCAGATGAGGGCGCGGAAGGCTCAGGACTTACCTGCTGCAGGTGAGTCCTCTTTTTCCTCCTACCTTCCAGTTCAGATGCCATGAGCAGGTGAGTTCCAAATACCTAAAATGCATAGGCTCCTTCCCCAGGGCTGGAAGAAACATTCTTGCAGAAGAAAGCATGATGAATAAAAATCATACAGTTTTAAGTACCTGAGATTTTGTCGTCTCGCCTTGAACTGTTATAGACGTGGAAATGTGCCCTGGGGAGTGACCCTGCTGCTCCAAGCTACTGTGGGAATAAATCACACCTAAGTAGACATTTTCACCCTGACCAAAGTTCCTAACCACTCAAAGGAAGCAACAGTTAACAAAGCAGAAATGAATGGATAAAATCAACTTTCAACACTGAGTATTTCTTTGTAGCAATTATGTGTGAGTTGCAAGTGGAATGTTCTCTGCTCATTTGACTTTTGAACACAACATGTTCCAGAATATTGTGAAATTAAGTATGTGGACGTTTCTTTGTATTCAAAATTAAACATTTGGTTTTGAAATCCCCTGATTAGGAGATAACTCCATGTAAATTTCACATGTAATAATAAGGTATTTACTGCTTTTTAAAAAGCATTTGGATGGCAAATTTTACTTATTGGTAAATGAGTATTATTTGAAAATTTTGTTTTGTTTCCATTAACTTTCGTGAAATGAAATGAATTATTGTAATGGTCTGTGTCTGAGTGTACGACCAAGTCACTCTTTTCTACTTTGACACTGGAGTGGAATTGGCTTCCTGGACATCCCTGAGGAGTGGAAATACAAAATACTCAAGTTTTTTAATGTTTGTTCTATGAGGAATGATAAATCCTCAGTTTTTTGCCCGACATTTTGGAGATCAGACAATACAACAGGTCAAGATACTTGGCTTAAATTCCCTCCTCATGTTCAGCAAATCCATTTCCCTCCTTCAGGAAATGATACGATTTCACTTACGAGCCCTTCGCCGGGCACCCAGGGCACCTGTGCTACAGGGACTGCCAGGTGAAGGTGTCACACAGCATCCCCCGGTGTCATCACTCTGACTCAGGAGTGCAAGATGACACAAGTAATTTAGGTAATGCTGCACTTCTCATGAAAACTGGTTATGGGACAATGTGCCTTTATTATCAGAATAGTGGTACGTGCATTTCTGATTACATAGCAACCTCTTTGGATGTTTGACTTAGATACTAAAAACATTTGGGTGTTGAGGTTTTGCATTGTAGATACAATTTACAAGCATGGAACTGGCAGTGTAATTAGACATTTTCTATAAAATACACCTTGTTACATCTCTGTGAAAGGCTCTGTACCAGTGCAGAGTAACTATGGCTCAAAAGTTGAGAGTAATGACACTTTTTAAACAGCTAATCGTTTGGATGGCTATACATGTAAGTCTGCTGGCAATAAAGGCTACTGTGAAAAGTCTCTTTCATTTGCAGGATGGGTCCCCTACTGCCTCACAAAAGGAAGCAGGGCAGTTTGAAACTTTCCTCTAGGAAATGGGTGCTTTTAGTTATTTCCCAGGAGAATGAAAAATGGTGGGCGGTAAAGGTAGCCTTGGGGGTCTCGAGTTAATGTCATGATCTAGCACTTGGTCGGCCAAACAAGGTTGGAGAGGAGAGGGAAAGCTGCAGTTCTTGGTGGCACTGGGGCAATAGTGTCACCACCAGGACATTTATGCCAAACACAAGAAGCTCAGACATATCATTTCTAAGGGGAAGAGCTAATGCAAAGGCTGGTTCTGATGGATTCTCTGGCATAAATAGTAGCAGATGAAACAGGACCAAACGTTCTATTTCCTGGGGCAAGACTTTCTCACAATTTCTTCCCTATCAAAGGAGCTCTTACCCATCCCAGAAAAATAAGGATCTACCAAAACTGATGTGAAGAGTGCCAACAACCAAAGCATCCTTAGGTGAAAGAGTGATTTGGGTTTTAAATGTGGTTTGCTCCCAAAATGCTGAGAAACACAGGTACGGGGTAAGAGGCAAGTTTGCCAGGGGATGGCTCCAGGAAAACACAATGAGGCAATCCTATCCCACCACAGAGACTCTCAGAAACTGGTTTACATAACGGCTTTTGGTTTTATTTTTTAAACAAATATACACTGGATTTTTATTTTTAAACAAACACATTGGAAAGAGTAAAGGCTACTAACTGCAGTGAGATCGAACACATAAATTCTGTGTGGCGCATAAGATCATCAGACTCCAACTTTCATGGCAAGAGCCGGGACAGCTCCACTGCTAAATGACCCGCAAGTCACTGGTTAGGGGTGCGCCTGTGAATGGTGTCAGAGGTGATGGGTTTTTGCCTAAATCAATGATCACAATTACTTTCTTCGTGTATTTGAAGTTCAGATTGCTTAAAAGCTTTGTGTTATCTCCAAGGCACCTTATTGACATACCACACACATGAATACCTCCCAGCAGAAACAGTGGAAATGGCTTCTAGAAGGGTTAATGAGTGAAAACCAACACACAAAGGCATCGGAGAAGTCTGGATAATGGAACAAGGTGTAATGAGAATTAGTGACACAGAGAGCTGAGGCTTCCAAAGTAACTCAAAACTATGACCGATGAACTTTTAAAATCACTTCACTTCCTAGGTGAAAATGCATGTGGCCTCCCTCACACCCTTGATTTTTTTTTTCCTAGAAATGCCTTAGGTCTTCTCATGCTATCGGCTGAGAGAACACACAACTTTTTAGTGATATACAGAACGCAACAATACATGTCCCTAAGGAACATCTCCTTACCAACAGGTTCTATCTCATCAGGAATGCAAATGAGGAAAGTCTTTGGTCAGGATGCAGAGGTTACCCAGGACTCATGGAAACACCCCTGGGTAACAGCCGCTTACATCGGGTACATCGAGGAATCACTTTCTCTTACAAAAAGTCATTCATGTGTTAAGACTGCTCTTTTAGGTATTAATAAGGCAAAATTCTCACTGAACCTAAACCTTTAGGGAGCTCTGGTGCGAGGTTCACCCTTTCCAAGGTTGTTTTCACAAAGAACACAGCACAGCAGTGGTATGCATGATCAGTGTTTGCTCTCAAGATGCTGGGGACTTTGCTGATGGCCCCAGCTACTGGGTGGTGACGTCAGTATGAGTGGTTCCTGACTCTGCGCTTTTCTGGTAAGAACCGAACTTGACAAAGAATCAGAAGGGCTGTTTTGTAAACCTTCTGTTGGGGTGGAAACTCTGTGACTCCCAAGGTGAACCCTTGCCTCACATTTGCAGGCTCCTTTTGTGGTTGGTGGGAAGACACACAGGCCCTGGGAGAGCTCAGCTGGCTTTCACAATCACATGATCTGGCTTCTGGATGTGCTTAAAATGACAAGACACAGGACAGGAGGAACACAGGGCTGGCTGGGTCAGACCATACACCTGGGCTTTACAAATGTGCTTTCCAGCAGACCTCCTATCAGTCCAAGGGCCTGGGGGCACAAGTCCTCGGGCCTGGTGATGTAGTTTGAACACATTTACAGGACCAGTTACATAACTGCATGGGGTGCTGAGACCGTAGGCACCATATGGCCAATTCATGGCACACACATTCCATGCGACACAGAAACCGATGAATATACAATTCCTACGCACAATCACTGGTAGTGTTAAGTCATCAAAACATCACCCAGAGGCCCACGGAGACTACCATGAGGCCTGTCACCTTCCCCCTCTGTGAACCATGGAAAGTGGTAGCCAGAATCCAAAGGAAGGTGGCGGATGATGTAAGCAGCTTAAGACATTCAGAAGACTCTGAAAATGGACAAGGCACGTTGTCTGCATTGAAATGGCTTGACAGTTCCTTGGTCCTCTCCTCGGGAGACGTCCACACTGGCCAGGCTGTCAGGCAATGTCAAATAGATCTCCTGAGTCACAGCTCTTGGAAGGTCCACACTGAATCAAGACGTGCGTGCAATAAATAAGCGCGTGGCTGCAGGGCGGGCCGCCGGGAGGGGCTCACTTGCAGAGCACCCCATTCTGAAGGATTCGGTTTCTGTCAATGGTGCAAGATGAGGTGGCCGCAGGGGGAAGGTCTTCCTTGATCTTCGGGGAGTGGCTGCTGTTGCTGCTGCTAGATTTGCTCTTGCTTGGGTCTAGAGCAGGCTGCATGGGCGAGGCGTGAGCCCCTGGGCCCTTGACCAGGCAGTTGCAGACCAGACGGAAGAAGGCGCGCCGCATCTCCTTGCTGGCCAGCGTGTAGATGACAGGGTTCATGGCAGAGTTGAGGACAGCCAGCATGATGAACCACCGGTCTTGGAAGAGGACAGAGCACTGCTTGACCCTGCAGGCCACATCGATGAGGAAGAGGATGAAGAGAGGGGACCAGCAGGCGATAAACACGCTCACCACAATCACCACCGTCCGCAGCAGGGCCATGGACCGCTCGGAGTTGTGGCTGGCCACCTTGCGGCTGCTAGACTTCACCAGGAAGTAGATGCGGGCATACAGGATCACGATGGTCACCAGGATGGCTGTGAAGATGCTGATGCAGAAGGCGATGTACTTCTTGGAGTATAGAGGCAAGATGGTGGAGCAGTCGGGCAGGTTCTGCAGGCAGTTCCAGCCCAGGATGGGCAAGGCGCCCAGCGAGAAGGCGATGAGCCAGCACATGCCAATCAGAAGGAAGACCCGGTGCTTCTTGTTGGCATCATAGGGCCTCATCTTGATCATGGTCAGGTGGCGCTCGATGGCAATGGCCAGCAAACTGCAGGTGGACGCCCCCAGAGCCACAAACATACTGCCCTCCCTGATGAACCAGACGGTCAGGGACAGGCTGAACGTCTTCTGACCCGACATCAGAATGTTGACCTTGTACAGCACCCCGGCCAGCAGGTCGCACAGAGCCAGGTTGCCGATGAAAAAGTACATGCGGTTGTGAAACTTATTGTTCTTCCAGATAGCGATCAGAACCATCAGGTTCTCCAAGACGATGAAGCTGCAGAGCACCAGGAAGAGGGCAGTGGTGAGCGTGCTGCCCTCGGAGGGGTCCTTCAGCCTGTCTTCCAGCTTCCCCACGTAGCTGTAATGTTTCCGCAGCGTCTCATTGGCCGAGGCAGGCCGGGTGGGCGAGATTGGCGGGATCGTGGCTGCCATCGACTCCGACAGTTAGCTGCACAAGCCACCAGAGGGCGCCCGGGGAACGCTCATGTCAAGGCCCGAGCGCGACTGTGGCTGCAGCTCCCGGAAGGCGCAGACAGGACTCCAACAGGAGGCTGGGAGCTGGCTCCTGTAAGGAGACAGGGCAGAGGGTGACCGTGGGTTAGGGGTCAGTCACAGAGCCAGGTCAGCGCGCAGGAATCCGGACAGCCTTAGAGGTCAGGGCTGCAGAGGCATCTTTAAACACAGGCCACATTTGTGGGCAGTGGAGACGGGGAAGCTATTTGGGGTCTGGAGCTCGTTCCCAAGAGAGGGAAACTCAATGCATGAATCATGCAATCATGTAAGCAAGACACACAGACCCAAATAAAGCCTCCACTTGGAAATCTACGGGCACCAGGAAGTGGCAGCCAGTTAGTCCTCATCTACTGCACAGAAGCTGGTAAATCATTACCCCAGATAACCAGAGAAAAACACGGTTTTCTCAGGAAAAAAAGCAAACATCCAGAAAGGAATCAGGAACAATGCCTGCTGGACTTCTGAGACCTCCCTGCCGTTGGGAGTGACATCCTGGGAAGTGCCCACACTTCCTAGGTGGCTCCCTTAGCCAGACGTGGGCCGGTAGGAAGAGCAGTGACAGCTGACCACAGCCACATGGCACAGCTGAGCTCAGAGCGCAGTGAGGAAGGGGTGACGACCTCCAGCAAGTAAGCAGCTGCTGCCCAGGTTGAAGGAGAAAAGGGAAGGAATGCAAAGAAACTCACACAGATTTTGAGCATGGCTTAAAATGCAGAGGCCTGGGCTGGGGTGTAGTTCAGCGGTACAGCATTGACTTCTATTACTTACAGCCCTGAGTTCTGTTCCTAGCATTGCCAGAGAGAGAGGCCCAGACAATAGGTATAACTAACTACACGGTGCATGTGAGCCGGAAGAACAACACATATGGAAGCCCAGCGGGACAGGAAGGCAGTGGTCCCAGGCTCCAGGCCCTCCATGGGTGCTAAACTGGAATTCTTCCTGCCCTGCGCCCAGCGTGGGCCTTCCTGACCCACTGATAGTCCTGACTGGCCTCCTGTGATCCTGATAATGCTGCAGACTCCACTCCCAAGGCAGAAATTGCTTTGAGTGCACAAACCTTACTTTTTATTTGCAACTGACACATAATTGCACCTATGAATGGGGTTAGAGTGATAACTTGATGCATGTCTACAGTGTGCGATAATCAAATCGGGGTAATTAGGGTTTCCACCTCCTCAAACTTTTTTCATTTTTTTGTATTGGGAACTTTTGAAACCCTCTCTTACAGCTTTTTATAAGCCCCAGTCTCCCTGAGCGTGCTATAGAACCCTGGAGCTTATCCTTCTATTTAACTATAACTCTGTACCTGCTACCCAACTCCGCTCTTTCCCCCACCCGCTTCCCACCCTGTGGTAACCAGTTCTGTCCTGTCTACTTCTTTTTTTGTTTGTTTGTTTTTTTTGTGGTACCGGGGATCGAACTCATGACCCTGCGCTTGCCAGGCAGGCACTTATGCCACTGAACTATATCCCCAGCCCCTGTCCTGTCTACTTCTATGAAGTCAAATTTTTACATGTGAGTGGGATCATGTGAAATCATATATTTTAAATTAAAATTATTTGAGTATTTAAAATATCTAATGAAGACCAAATGAGGTTAACTTAAAGTAGCCCACCCTGTGTGTCTACTGAAGATATTTTTAACTATTAAGCTACTGCTGTAAATTAAGTTCAGAGACACAAGGCCCACTCTGCGGTACATAGGACTCAGCAATTGGGGCTTACTAGCATGTGAGGGCCTCACCTGCCCCTGAGCTCCTGCCCACACGGACCCCAGTCCCAGTGAGGGCCTTGCCCCTTGCCAGAGGACCCTGTGCTCTGGGGCTAAAAGCAGGTTATTCCCATGGTTTCCAAACCCTCCTGATCTTCCAGGGACAGCAGGTGTTGTCCAAGCCCTTCCTGCCCCACACTACTTGTACTTTCCAAGGTAGGGAGAAGACAGTCTGTGGCTTCTTTGAAGAGATTTCTCCCAGCCTCCTGGAGCCTGGAAGGGTCAGTTGTTCCGGAAGCCCTGGCTACTGTTGGCGCTGATGTCTGTGCTCTGCCTGGAACTGCCCCGGCCCCAGCTTGCACCATCCATGAGAGCTGCCTGGGATTCTCGAGGTCTTTTGAGTGTCACTTGCTGTCGCAGACCTTTCCATGTTGGCCTGGGCCCTCTTCTAGTTTCAGAGAAGAAAGTTGCCCCGAGAGGCGAGGCTGGCATGATGATCCAGGTCACCACCCATGTCACTTATGAGCCCACCCCCCACACACAAGGGCAGCACCCCACCTGGCCAGGCCCTGGGCAGGTTCCCCTGGAGACAGACAGGACAGTCAGTGAGCAGTGCCCGCTTCCCTTGCCTCCTTTTATTGAGACCCTGTCTGTCCTTCAAGCCCAAGTCACATTCCACCTGTCCTGTAGTCCCCAGTGACTTTTCCCTGAGGCTGCTTGCTGGCTGCAAGCTGTCTTTGGAAGGGTAGAAATAATGAGCAGCTGGAATTCTCTGCTCAAGGACTACAAACTCATTCACACATGGGTGCTTTGCCCAGAGAGTCTTATCTCACTCTCTCAGACTGCAGGGCACCGTTTTCCTAGCACCCTGCACACGCGTGGTGCCTGACAGACGCTTGTGCCCTGCTTATCCAGTTATTATTACTTTTTAATCTGTAGACAGTGGCTGGAGAATTACTACATCCGTGCCCTCACTCTGCTCCGTTTCCATCCTGATCAGGACATCATGTGGGTGCATCTGAGCTGAGGCAGGAAAGGTCGTCATCAGTGACCAGTGTCCAGTGCCGTGTCCTGTGGGTGTTCTCCCCTTCCACAGCAGCTGGCCTGGAGCCATCACCATGCTGCTGAACGGGCCTGCCAGACTCACACAGTGGCAGGAGCGACCCTCCCGGGCTCCACTTCTAGCTTCCAGCTGCCCTGCCCATGATATGCTCGGCTGAGGCTGGCTATGCCTCCCACCACAGGGACTTCTGCACCAGAACTCACCAGCTTGGACAGACAGGTCCCAGTGCTGATGCCTGAAGCCCTGTCTCCCAGCTCAGGTGAGGGTTCAGGTACCGCTCCACACTCCCCGTCTTTGTGGTAGTACGGGTGTGTGCTTATAATTCAGACTGTGCTTGTGCTCTCTCAGCTTGTCTTCTGGGCCTCACTTCCCTCACAGTAACCCCACATGCTACTTTCTCTACCATGGGCCTCTCCTGAATGTTCTATATGCCTCGGATCTTGCCACACAGAGTAGGTAGAAGGGAATGAATCTCTTCAAATGGCAAGATCTGGAGCTGCTCTCAGAAGGAAGAGAGATATGCGGCTCTGCAGACTCACATCTTCGGATGTTTCCCTTCTTTTTATAAGACTGAGCATAGCATAAGAAAAACAAGCGAACAATAAGAGTGATTAACTACAGTAAAAATGGTAGAAGATGTGCCAGATGCACTCTGGCTCTTGAAGGTGAACATACTTTCCCATTAATGCTTGACTTATCATTTTCCTCTATCTGGCATCATCCCTCATGGAGCATATTTTTGAAAAATATGTTTTGTTAAATATGATTCTCCTCATTTGCATAACTTAAAGATATCTCTCTCTGGACCCTAAAAGCTTATTTTCTCTGAATTAGCAACCTTATAAAGCTGGCTCCATCCTAAGAATTAAGTGCTGGGCTGAGGGCCAGATTGATTTTCGATACGTCCAAACATTATTGTGCGCAGTCAAGACCATGTCATGGGAAAGTTCTCCCTTCCACTCCCGAGGGGAGCCGGCCGCAGACCCCGAGCTTGCAGGAAGAACGCTCCATCTCCAGAGAGCCTTGCTCACTCTGCCGCTGCTGGGTCACTGTAGGAGCGTCGGGTGCTGTGGGCACCTGGGTCCTGATCACCAGGCACCTACCCAGCATACCCAAAATACCCGTGAGGCCAGCGCCCAGACCAGCACCAGATGGGCCCTACCTCCACATGTCACCTAGTAGCCCTTCTAGTCACTGCAGGCCCCAAGTGTTGTCATATCTAGGCTTCTCCCCAAAACCCACAGGATGTAATGTGCCTGGTGCACTTCTGTCACCAGGATCGTGTGCAAAACAGGCCTGTGGACTCAAATGGACATAGGCAAGCCATTATCCACTGTGTGGAAAGGCACTCAAACCTCTGTTCATTCTTGTCTTCTACGGCCCGGGTTGCCCATGTGTAGTAGTGACACTAGGGCTGGTTGAGGAGGTTCTCTTGGTGAATACGCCTGTGTTCTGGATGCCGCCCTGGATTTCTGAAGGACATGCTGATGTCTAAGGTGGGTTTTAGCCTGACTCAGAGGTGCTGGGCATCCTAAGCATGGGGGGCAGGTAAGGCTGCTCAATATAGTAGGAAGTTTAGGTTTTACTCTGATCACTAATTACTTTCCATCTGGGTACTTAAAGCCAGATGCTGGGAAAAGTGGCTCTGAGCACAGTAGTGCTATACATACTCAAAAAGCTGAGCCTATTGCAAAAGGAGGATGAGCTCCAGGGTGACAGTGCTGTCCCTCATTAGCAGTGATCTGTTAACCAACACAAATTCCTGGTAAGTTCATCAGTGCAAAACACTCAGTTCCCAGTCCTGTGCGAAGCAGCCCCCTGACAGCCCAGGCAGGCCCTCCCTCCCCTTTCCCCGGCTTGGCCAGGGACTCAGCGGTTTTCTGTCTGCATCACTGTCTACACCATCTGAGCTTCCCTGAGGACCCCGAGACCTGACAGTCTGCCCTGCGGCCTCGTTATGCTGGGAGCACCCAGCCTACGTTAAGCATTCCACCTCCAACGTGCTTTCTTTCTGCCAAGGAAGAATAAAATGTCCTCTGGAAGAGGATGCTGTGGTGGATGACCCCAAGTTGGACCCTGCCTGTGAGGGAATGCCTACCTTCCCCTACTCCAAGGACTGCCGCCGGGGGGGGGGGCAAGAGAGGGGGCAGATGGATTCCAGATGTGCTTTCTATATTCGAGTCCGACTTTCTCCACACATGTCGGCTTGAAAAATAAACAAACTATAAAAAGGAAAAGAAAAAAAATACTTCTACAGTCTAGCTTCCCTCCCCTCACCATAAAAGAAAGGCATAGGAAGAACTTTCAACTGGTCAGAAACAGGATGCTGTATTTATGAAAGGTATGTCCTCCCATGCCTCTTCATCCTCCACACTGAATTAGAACAGCAAATATTTGCCAACAAGCAAACTGTCTTGGGAAGCAACAATTTTCCTTTTCTCTTTTCCTTTTTCACTCCCAAGAACTTAGAAAGGAAGGAATGAGCCAGCTCATGTAAAAGGCCCAGCAAAATCCCTTTGCTAATGAGTCTTTTCCTTTGTGCTGGTTGTTCTGGGTGAGCTCACGCTGCCTTCAGAGATAGTTCACGCGAAACATGGGCTTCACACACAGAGCCTCAGTCTTGGCACTTTGAGCTCAGCCCATGAACAGAGCCCTGTGTGAAACAGCAAGCATTACAGACACACCAGGGACGGGGCTGGCATCCTCTCCGCTTTTGTTCAGAGTATGGAAGCACATGTGCTTGGCTGCGTGTCGGTGACCTTCCCGTGGGTGCTTTAGCAAAGAAGGCTCAGTGCTGTCGCAGATCCAGGCACAGTCCAGGGGACCTCACACATCGGGATTGTGCCCCAGGGTCCTTGGGCACTGTCCAAGGCATCTCCCTGGGAACGGCTTCCTGAGCTTCCAGAGGCATCCACAGAAGGAAACTGAATCTGGGGTTAGGGTTTGTTTTGCCCACTTTGCTTCCCGATCAGTGTGTCTTTCTCTACCCTGTTTGTTCTCAGTAAGGCCATGGGGTTGACATACCACCAAGACTGCCACAGAGGGATGCAGGAGTGTGCAAACAGGCTCCAAGAGACAGCTATGGGCAGATGCAAGTGAGCGGTGCCTTCCCAAGACGGTGACCTACGGTCCCAGGAGTCCCCTAAGTAACTTGTACCTTCTGGACATAGACAGGCAGAAACTGTGGCCAGAGGAGGGGCTCCTTGTCATTTGTGTGAGGCCTGGCTAGGCTGGATGTCCGGGTTGTCTGCTTGCAGTGCCTCCCAGCAGGGAAGAATGCTGTGGGAAACCATCACCTTGCCACTTGTGGGTTAATGAGGTCGTAAAAGTTTCTCCAGTGTGCTTTATAGCTGAATTGCTTAGAGCTACTGCACTAGCAAAATGCTGAAATGCTATCCTGACGGCTTTACCTAAAGAGCTGGGAAACTCTGAAGCCAGGGAAATGGGTCAGAAACTTCCAGGCCAAGGATCATGGTACCCTCCCCGGAGCTCCCTGTGCCAATGGATGTCAGTACAGTGCCAAGGAGGAACACCCACCCGTGGGTGTCCACTCTCTGCTGAACAATCTTTTCTCCGATTTGACCTAGCTGGTCTGTTCCCTTGTTGAACTGACACAGCTTTGATTCCTCAAAAAACAGAAAGCAAAGAACAAAAAACAACAAACGAGAGAGATGGAAGGAAGGAGGGAGAGAGGAAGGGTAGTAGACTGAGCAAAAGAGACTTTACATTTATGAGTATCTGTAATAAAAACAATCATTGAAATGTAGTATTAACTGAAACTCAGTAGAATTCCACTCAGTATATTGGCTTTTTAAAAAAATCATATCTAAAAGCATATGGGAAATCTCTTAGTGTAATTCGTTCAGCAGAAAATGCAGGGCAAAGGAATGATATTAAATAGCTTCAGAACTGATAGGAAAGGAAATATGAAGCTAGATGTAAGGACACAGGTTTAGATCACCCACAGCCTCCTCCCCGCTAACCAGAACAGCTTGGTTAAGGGTGGCCCCAGGCTCTGGCAGTAAAAAGGGGTTTTACCATAAGGCAACTCTGAGCTTCTCCAAGGTACAAGAAGCTGAAATTCTCACTGTTTTTGTAATAAAAGTACATTCACACAGTGTAGGTACTGAGGAAGAGGGAGGAGATGTGGAAATAAACGTCATGACTTCTGTTGAATTTTTCTGATATCATAATTTCTGTTCAATTTTTCGGATGTTTGAGAAAAAAAGAAAGAGGAAAACCCCCGGATTATGAGAAATCAGATCACTAGACCAATATGTTAAGATTCTTCTACAGGAAACGGGAATTTCTACAATCCAAATATGGTAGAACATTAGGAAACTCCTGTGCCTTAAAAAAAAAACACAAATGTAAGGAGGATGAGTGGCTTTCAAAATGGAAACTGGCTGAGACATCATTCCCTCCATGTCTTAAGAGCAGTCTCCTAAGGGCTGGCTTTGCAGGTTAGGTCTCTGGTGTCAGGGATTAGGAGTGACTTAAACCCAATGTGAATGTTTGCTGGTTTGCTGATTGAAAAAAAATGTGGGATTCTTTTCTGGCAACAAAAGTACTCATCCTAACATTGAATTCTGTATCAATTAAGAAATTGTACAGGTTGGGACACTTCTATGATTCTTCAGCACGACACACCCACCCATCACCACCACCACCCGCACAAAATCAGCCCTGGCCACAGTCATCCTCGCTAGTCATTTGCCTGTAGAACATAGTCCTTCCCTGCGCTCTCTAGGAATTGGCTTTCTTAATTTTGCCTGCAAGACTTTCATCTATGAAGAAAGGAATATTGAAAGGTAAATTATGCATACGTGACTTTACATAACATCTGAGACTTCTAATGTCCAGATCTTAGACACAATTCTGGACATCTCAGAGCTCCGGCTACAGGAGAGAAGCACGCACGTAGCAGAGGAGCCCCCTGTCCATGCCACTACCCTCTTTAGTGTAATGTTCAGAATAAAGTATGTCTCTTTAAAAATCCAGTGAGACATCTCTGTTACACCTAAATATAAAACACCACAAAGAAATAGCGATTGGGAAGCTCAAAGCTAGAAAGAGAGACAAACAGACACCATGTGCGGCCGGGGTAGTTAAGGGGTGCAAGGCCCCTCCTAGGCAGTATCTCAGTTGTGAGCGCCCAGTTTGCCATAGGAACCTTACTTATTGCACTGTGGAGACCTTTGTCTTTCAGTTCCCGTCCTGACAGCTCTGATTGCCTTGTTGGAGACATGTTAGGAAAACTGGAATTTTGCGGCTAATGTAACCTAAAAAACCGATTTTTTCACGCGAAAGACCCTTCCCCCGCCTCCAGACCCTGGCCCTCGTCCCGGGAGGGCCCCTAACTTTCTAACTGTCCAAAGAAAACGACTGATGGAGCTGCTCCATGAAACGCCACCTCCGTTCATTCAGGGTTTTCAGACACCCCTGGTTTCCAAATTCCCAACAGCAGCTGAAAAGGAGCCACGCCTCTGGGCCCGCGGGACTCAGACTTCACTGCGGACAGCCTGGGTGGCGGGGGGCCGGTGCTGATGTGGGGTGGCAGGCCCGGGATCCGAAAAGTGGGTCCCACAGTCCAAGCCCCAGCCGGGATTGGACAGCCCAGCCGCCGCCGAGTCGCTCACCTCCATCCGCAGAGGGCACCGGGGCGCCAGCATCCTGGGGGTCGCCTCGGCTGAGACCACACTCTCGGGCTCGGGATGCCGCTGTGGCCTGGGTCTCCTCCGGGCCGTCGCAGACTCCCGGTCCTTATAGCGTGTCCCTCAACCGGCTTGCTCAGCCTCTGTCCCAGCCAAGTCAAAGCGCAAACTTTTGCGTCCGCCCGCCCAACCCCGTGTCCTGCCCACCAGCCTGCCGCCACGCCCATCGTCGGCCCCGTGCCCACCCTCGTCCCGCCCACCGCCCTCGCCCCGCCCACTCATTGCCCTGCCCATCTCCCGTCCACCGCCGCCCCGCCCACCTCCCCGCCCATTCCCCCCCCAGCCCAGCTCCTCGGCCACGTGCGCCCGGCTCCGTGCGCCCCAGTCCGGGATTTGCCCTCCTGTGTGGATGGTGGGTCATCGGTGCGAAGTCTTCCAACAGAGGAATCTCGGGAAGGGGACTGCCAGACCGGCAATTAGAAAAGTGCAGGCCTTGACTGCCTGCACACAGAAACAGTCCTAGCAGCTTTGTGGCTGAACGGACAGAAAGAAAGAGAAAGGAGGAGGAGGTGGAAAAAGAGAGACCAAAAGAAGAGGAGGGAATGACCGAAAAGGAGGGAGAACCGGAGGCCTGCCAGGCTGTGAAGTCCTGGCAGGCAGCCTGGGGCCCGAGAGGCTTGCAGAACAGATCTGGGTTTCCTTCTTTGCGCTCTCGCCTGCGGAGGAGCCCACGCCCGCCTGTCAAGATGGAATGGATGCTGGGTGCTGTTTTGGGGCGCACCTGCCACGCTGCTTGAAGTTGGTGCATTTCTACCGGCCTCCGCCTTTTCTTTTGTTTGCTGGTGAGGAAAGCAAGCCCTCAGGCAGGAGTCTTGCCCCTGAGCAGCTGCGGGGCTGTCCACTTCCCCAGTGACTCAGTGACAGTGTGAATGCCTGAGCTGGGGACCCGCCCCCCTCAGTGTTCCCTGAGACCAGTTTGCCTGGCCTTCAGGCTCCAGTAACTTGGCTCAGTGTCTTGGGCACAGCTCTGAGAAGACACTCCTGTCCCAAATTGTGAGAGGGACAGACTGTGTCTCTGTTTGTTCTACTAGAGCACCAAGTCAAGAACAGGACAGCAGGGACTGTGCTGCTTTGTCTATTTCCCATGACCAGGGTGACAGTCCAGCTCCTGGCCACTGTGTCCACACCTTGCCAACACAGCCAGTCTGTTCATGGAGTCTGTCCAAGTAGCCGCTGTCCACTCTGCACGTGCTCTGCTCGGGTTTGGGCAGAAGTTTGTTTTAGCCGGCACCCTCAGCTCCATTCTCAGAGAAAGCCTGTGACCTACTGTGATACGGGGACCATGACTCCTGCTAATGCTCACAAACTGTGATGCCCACAAACTGACTTGGGAAACACTGAGAACTGCTGAGGCTCTTTACTCTCACCTGAGAGACACAGATCTCTGGCCCGTGGCATCACAAAAGGTGCCATGAGGGTGACCCCTATTTTGACGAGGCTTCTTTCTCACAGAGATTCCTGCCACACAAGCTCTGCCCACATACAGGCTTGCCACTGACCTGGTGGCCCACCCCTGTCTGCTCTCCAGTGTCTAAGACAGCTGGGTGCTCTGTGCCCCTTTAAAACCAGGAGGGACAGACTTCTCTTGCCCCTTCTCTAGGGGGAACTGGCTCTTCCTGCATCCTATTTAGTAAAGTCTCCCCTTCTCCAGCCCTGGTTCAGGAGGAAAAGCAACTTCGTGCAGCAATGTCAGTTCGGGAGCACAGAAGGAGCAGAAATTGTGGGGTCCCCCTTTTGCAGCCTTCAGTGGGTGACATAACTGAGGCAGGGTGCATCAGCAGGGGAAAGTGCAGGTGAGCTGGTAATCACCCAGTGCCAACTGGAAGGGAACAGAGGCCTTCCCTTTTCCATGGAGAGCTGGTGGGTGTGAGGGTAGATTTTGTCATCAGGCCTTTGTCATAGCAGCCCAGACGTTTGGTCAAGCATTCTACTGAAGATGTCTGTGAGACCGCTTTTACATGAGGTAAACATTTGAATCCATAGACTGAGAGAAGCTCATGGTCCTTTCCAGCATGGGTGGACCTCATTCGATCAGTTGAAGGCCTGGATAGACCTCTTTCGAAGGGAATAGGCCAAATCTCTCTCTGTCTACCAGTCTGACTGTCCTCAGACTGGAGCTTTCCATCTAGTTCTACAGCAGCATAGATGGTTTCAGACTAGAGCTGAGCCACCTGCTCTACAAATTTTGTGTTTGTTCATTTCCATAGTTGTGTGAGCCAACACCATGTAGTAAGTGTGTGTGTGTGCGAGTGTGTGTGTGCGTGAGTTTGTGTGAATATGTATCTCCTTGGTTCTGTTTTTCTGGGGAATCTTGGTTGATAATATGGTGGCCCCAGGGAAAGAGCAGAACTTTTTATAGGGTGGCTGTGGTAGAAATGAGCCTTGGGCAGTGTTGGGGACTTGGGTCTTGTGGTCATTCATCTGCAACTTGACAGACAACCCCAAGCCACTTTCTCTCTGCTGGCTTGCTCCACACAGGACTTGGGGAAAATAGCTTTAAACTATTAATCTAGATGTAGCTTTGCAGAATGAAATTTGAATTTTTGTGTAATGACCTTGTCTAGATCCAAAGGAAGCCTTTGACTCATTGTCAGAATTCTTCAAGGAAGGATGTCGTTGATGACAAAGATGTGTACCAAAACTGAGAGACCACATTACCTTGTTCCTATTTCACACATCTACTCTGTCTCCTGTCTCAAGGTCAGCCGTGGGCCTTCCTTCCTCTAGGAATTGTTCTTTTCATGTTTTATATACTGGAAGGATGTTTTCAATATTCAGAAACATAACTAGTGAGTGATATGTGTTTGTGTGAGTGGTGCATATGTTTGTGTGAGTGGTATATGTGTGTATGTATGGTATATGTAGTGTATATTTGTGTGGCATTATGTCATATGTGTAATGTGTATATGATATGTGAAGCAATGTAGTGTGTGTGATGGGTATGTGTGTGTGGTGTGTGCATATGCATAGTATATGTGTTATGCGACATGTGTGTATATGTGTGATGTGTGTGTGATACCGTGTGATGTGTGTGATATGTGGTGTGTGGTATATGATGTATGTGTGTGGAGCATATTGTAGGTGTGTGTATGTGTGTGTGTGTGAGTGTGTGTGTGTGTGTGCATATGTGTGATGTGTGTGTTCTGGAGGGGGCCAAAATGTTTGTGACTCTTCCAGGAAGATGCGCCCTAGGACCATGAGGTCTCATAACAATGAATAACTGGCTTTTGGGGTTCCTGGGTGGGGCTCCTGAAGTTCTGGGATTTGCTTTCCTGTGGGCAGATGAGATGACGGGGCCTCCATTAGTTTTATAATAGAAGCTGATACCAGAGAAACAAAAGGTAGGACTGGAGAGTGGGAACTTAGAGACCAACCTCTAGTGATGTAATCATTCAGGCCAGTGTAATGACACCCCAGGAAATCCCCTGCCTCCAAGTTTGGAGAGCCGTGGGTGGATAAGTACGTAGAGGTGCCTGGGACACTGTGGGAGCCCTGCACCCTTCACTCACAACTTGTCCTGTGCTTTTCTCTTCACTGGGCTGTTCCAGAGTTGTATCCTTTGTCATAAACCATTATTCTAATAAGTAAAAGTCCTCTTGAGTTCTGTGATTGTTCAGGCAAATTACTGAACTTCCAGGGTGTGGGACACTATGGATTTATGGCTGGATCAGTGGCTGCCTAGGGAGAAGTGTCAAACATTGCCTGCAGAGGCAGTTTCGTGGGGCTCCATTGATCTGTGGGATCCTTGTCAACTCTAGTTAGTTAGTGTCAGAATCTGATTGAATGGCAGGGCATCCATTTGGTGTTGGAGAACTGAAGAAATGGTAGGTGTTAGAATGACACATTTGTTGTTGGGAACAAGGACCAGACCCTGACCAGGAACACCCAGAGGGTGCCCCCTAGTCCCAGGGTTTGCTCCCAAAGGTGAGGAGCTCTGCTAAGGGACCCTCACAGCCAGGGAGGAGACCGTGTCCCAGGATGTCATGAGCAGTGTGTTTCTCTCTTCTGCTTGTCTTCCCCACCCCATCCTCACCTCCACATCTTGCTCTCTACCATTCTGCAGCCCCTCTGTTAGTCCCCTCATCCCAAAGCCTCCAGGGGATTGGCAGAGCACTGCCCCAAAAAGCCCTTATGTGTGTTGTTTTTGGCACTTTGGCAACTTTTCAATTCCTCCTAGGTGCTTGATCTTCTCTGCCTTTGTTGTACACTTTAAACGGTGAACTGTTTAGTATGAATTACATTTCATGAAAGTTGCTAAAAGTTATTCTACAGGTTTGTGAAAGAGATTTCTGGATGACTGTATACATTTGGGGTAGTAGATTTAGATGGTGTGGGTAGGGTGACTTTTCATTTTATTCCTTCTTTATGATGTGGGTTGCTTTATCATGTGTAGATATTATGTTTACTTAAAGTAAGACTGAATTGGGAGAGGTTGTCCTGCAGTAACAAATACAAACAATAGTGCTGAGGGCAGAGCTGTTTTTATTTGAAGGTTTGTATTGCAGCTTTCACAGTTGGGTTTTCTCTGTTCTTGCCTGTGCCGTGCCTGTTCCTGCCCTTTCACCCAGTAGGTCTGTGCCAGCTGCAGCAGTTCTGTTCAGGGCCTGTGTGGGGACTGAAGACCAGGGTGGTGCAGAGTGGTGACCTGCCCCACGTGGACCCTCCCTGCTGTAGGCTGCCATCCACATTCCTGGTGGTCACCAACCTGAAAGGAAGCCTGGTTGGGCTGAATGCTAGGCAGCCGCGGGTGGAGGGGTCCCCCAGGGGCTACGTCAAAGCAAGGCAATCTTCAAAGGCAGGTAATCACAGCCTGGGCTGTCTCCCTGCCTCCCCTTCCCCTCTGCTAGCCACAGTGGGGATACAGTCGAGGACAGCAGTAGAGGGAGGGGGCTGAGTCTTCTTGTGGTCTCCCACTTGCTGTCTGCTTGCCTTACTGCGCTTTCCTCTTTCCTTTCCTGGCTACATGTTACCCAGAAAGCATTGGGGTTACAGCTAAGTGCAAGTTCAACAGCACACCTGGGTGGACATGCATACTCACTCCAGGTACTCAGACTTCTTGGGGCTCTGAATCCTGTGGTGAAGATATATGAAGAGGGGCTGGGGATTTAGCTCAGTGGCAAAGCGCCTGC